GGGCTCCAGAAGCCAAAGTCCGCCAGTGGGGACCGTTTTCCTCTCCACTGCTCTCAAGTGAACAACAAGGACGGAGGTGACCCTCGTCCAAAGGGCTTCTATCTGCCCCCTACTGCCGCGTGATCCCGCCACAGGTCGAAGGCAGAGCTTTAAAAAGAGAAAGAAAGAAAAAGAAAGAAAATTAATGTGCGTCGAGCACTGATCTTCAATCGGGAACATTATCTAAGATCTCCTTAAGTGGCAGCAGCAGTTCCTTGCAGAACAAAGACTCAGTGTCTGAGCTCCAAAAGCTTCTAGGTAAAGTTTCAGTCAGATAAAAGCAACCTAAGCGCAAAAACACAGGTTTTCTCGGCTCCAGAAAATCAGCGGCTACTTTTCGATCTCCATTCCCGGCACAGTGTTTGTCCTCGCCCACGGGGCGGGGTGGGGAGCGATGTGTGTGTGGGGGGGTGGAGGTGACAAGAATAACAAAAGACCTCAGCAGACCTCCTCCTCCCCCATAACTCTCCTAGCTCCAAGGCGATGAATTCCTTGGGAATAAGTCCTATTTGCTACTATTTAAGAAATCAAATTTCACTTTTTAAAAAGAGAGAGATCTAAAAAAGCACCCATAAAGAAAGTGTGGGTGGTTAAAATTCTTTTAAACACTTTTTCAGCGACCTCATTCCCAGTTTAGATGTCAGAGGATGGGAGGGAGGGCCAGGGCTGTAATTCATCTTGATTTGCTTCATTGTCCCGCAGTTTGCAAACTATAATCCTGTATAATTTCAGGAACAAGCAGGTTTAGAATTAATGGGTCAATATTATTTAAAACAAAACACGGGGAGCATGACCTTTGCCTCAACTACATATTGCTCGACAAGTCTCAGGAAACTCCACTCTAACCTCTCAACCCCTGGGCTCTTTGAGAAACTGAAAGGCTGCAGTTATTAGAAATGGTCTTTGTTTCTTTTCATGTATCCACAGGATTTGAAAATAGTAATGCAATATAACATGAAAGATCTCTCTACTTAAGCCTGAAAGATAAACGCAGAGGCCTAAATATTTTGAACTGGAGGTGTTTCCACATAAATTTATTATAGATATATTCCTCTTAAGAGGAATGTATATAAATGGTACATGTATACATGCATACACATTTCTCCAGAACAATTGACTGGAGATGCAGTTTCTCCTCTGTTGGGGTGAACTTGAGAGTCATG